GGGGCCGGGCTGGGGGCAGCGGGGTGGGCCCCGGCCCCCCCCCCCCGCGGCAGCTGCCCGGCTGGGCGAGACCCTGCCGGTGCGGAGGGACCAGAAACCGCTGGGCGGAGCTGCCTCACGGTAAGGAAAACCCTCCTCTCGCCCCGCACCTCCGGCGGCGATTGGTCCGCATGCCGTGCTCGCGGGCAGTGATTGGCTAGAGGCTGCGGGCGCTGGGGGTGATTGGCCGGCGGGAAGTGGCGCCTTTTTCTGCTCCGGCGGTGAGGGGAGGGTCGCCATGCTGCGGGGGGCTTCTGTGCCGCCCCGCGGCCTGCTGCTCGCCCGGCGGGGCGCGCCCCGCTGCTGAGGAGGCTGGGGGCACTACGGGGCGTTTTCTTCTCAGTAACAAAGCTCTTGGGGGAGATGCTAGTGACTACGTGTGTTTCGAGGGCAGAGGTCTCACTCCCTCATCGAGAAGGAGGCACCTGGAAGGGGTTTATTTTTTCTTCTCTGGCTTGTCTTACTAGGCAGGTGATGAGGAAGACCTGTGAGGTGATAGCAAAGGCTTCCACGTAGGCTGTTGCGTTCTTGTATTGGAAAAAATAATAAAAGACCCAACCTGTATTTGTTATTTCTGTATTCCTTAGGAGTGCAGAAATGACTAGTGTGTGTTCCCAGTTTCTTGTTCTGCTGAAGTCGTTGCCTGTTTTTAATCATTATTTGCCTTTGCTTTGTCTAATTCTGTGTAATTTCTGGGATGGGGAGATCAAAACTGCACATGGTAGGTTGGTCAATGTAGATTAATTTATACAAAGCATGAAAAAGCTTGTTGTTTTTTTACATGTTAACTCTGAAAAGAAAATACTTCTATCTGCTCTTGAGTATTAAGACAGTTTTCAGAAAACTATAATTTTGAGATCTCGGAGCCTATCACTGTATGTATAATTAAGAAGGCTTTTTCCCTGCATGCATTTATCACATTTTTCTTAAATTATTTAATCTACCATTTTATAATGAGGCCCTTCTGGAATTCTGCTGTTGACTCTACCTATTCTGAATAACCTGGTGTTGATGGTGTAATTGGCCATCTTCACGCTGTTTCTCACTGAGAAATATCGAGAGTCTGCTGCAGGACCCTCTGTTCCTCCATTGCCAAAGTTGATTGTTCCACCCACTCTTTTATTTTAAGCAGTTGTTTATCCATGTAGGGATGTTTCCTTATATCCCCAGTTAGTTTAATTTCTAAAATAGTATTTATACTAGTGACAAATTTTGGAATTTGTAATGTATTTTGACCAATTATTGATGTCTTTGCAAAACCTATTGAAGTCTATGATGTCAGTGAATTGTGTGTTGGTCAAGTGATGATTGTTCCCTTCTTATGCAGCTGAGTAGATGAATTGCAAAAATGGAAGCCAGGAGTGAGATACAGGTATGTGCTTATGAACCAGAATATGAGTGTAGGTTGTTTTAATTACTAGCTTAAAGCAGTCCTGTATTTACAAGTAAAATTTGCAGCGTGGCAAAGAATGTGGTAGGAAGAAATTTTCCTTTGACATAGGTTAATGCTAAGTAGCTGGGTAGAAAGTAAGACGAATTGGAAATTGTTATTGATGAAAATAAATCATATGCATTTGGCATACATGTATCAGTTGGGATGATACTTAAGATCAAAATGTCGAAATCTGGTTGTAATTGATTTAGAAAGAATAGAGTGGCAAAATAATTGAGGAAGGCTGTAGTCCTCAAATATATTAATATATCTTTTAAAGTCACTGATAGATAACTTAGAAATGCAAAATATTAAATGTACTAAGGAAGGGGTATTAATACAATGAGCACTTATGTAAGCATTTATTTGTAATATGAGGAAAGAAAAACCATTGGGTTAAGGAAAACTGGCAAATAAGTCAAAACTCATTGAGTAAGTATTTGCATGATTAATGTATTAGATATGGTGTTCTGTACTTCAGGTTTTGCATTTAATGATTTTGTGATTCAGAATATTTGCTTAGAATACAACAGATGATTGCATAAACCCTACGTTAAATCTTGTTAATTCAGTATCGGTGTTAAGCATACAGTAATACAGTTGCTCTGTTTTATTGTTGACAGTTTGAAAAGTTAATTGATGAAGCTACAAGAAAAAAAGATTTCCAATTATTAGAACAATTTCTGGCAACAGAAGACTGTGAAAATGTCTCTCACAAATGCAGCAAACAGTTTGTCAACAAATTAGACAAGCTTCTGTGTCGGGTAGTGTAATCATTACATCAGAATCATCTATACTGTCATTGTAATAGTCTGAAAAACATTTTTTAATTTGGCTTGGTTTATACCAGCAGTTGATTTGAGAAACTGAAATAAAATTTAAGAATGAAATTTCTACTTCAAGCTGCAATTAAGGTGGCTCTTGAGAACAAAAAGGCATCTGGTTAATTAAATACAGGTTCTTCTAGAACTGTACACTAAAGCTTATGTTATAATTTCAATTTCAGGAACTTGACAAACAAGAAGTCAAAAGCATTTCCACTTTACTAAATTCTATTCAGAAATGTGGGGAAAAAATCAGCATAGCAGGAGAAGATGGGCTTCCAGCAATGATAAAATACGGTCTTATTGGAAGGATAAGTAAAACCATAAAGCATACATGAACTTCTAAAAAAAAATAAAATAAGAATAAAAAATTAATAAAGCATGCATAAGTAACGCTTCAGTGCTGAACAGCTTGGTATTCGATTTGGTCCTTGCTTGTTTCTGAATTAAGAATTTCCCATAACTATGCAACAAACATTATTCAGATTTAAATGTTCTTTGACAAGTGGCTCCTTATGAAGTGATGCTGCTCTACCACAGTGAAGGTTTTGCAAATTATGCCATATATAATTAATTTAGACATGCTTACAGCAATTGCAACAGGGTGATGTCTTTTTATATGAACTTGCTATACTGCTTTTGAGTCAGGAATTGGAATTTCCTGGTGCAATTTAGTAATTTTTTTGTTAATACTCACAACAGCAATATTGTACCTGTTCTTTCAACAGATTATAGTGCTATTCTGATTATTTTGTGTTATTTCAACCTGCATGTTAAATGCGTTAATCATTTGTAACTCAACATAATAAATATACTGAAAAATAGACACCACTTCCTCATTGCTTTCAGCAGAGATTTCACTGAAGAAAATTAATGACAATGTCAGATGAGTGTTACTCAATTGCCTTCTCAACTGCTTTAATAAAAATAAAAAAGTGTGGTGATAACTTAATGCTTATATTCACACCTACAAACACACTTTTTCTTTCAGCCATTATCCATTTTCAGCTCTTTTCTCTGTGATGGCAGTTGTAAAATTAGATCTCTAGTTTTGTGTTAGAAAGTCAGCTACAGAAATTACTTATATTAGTTTGGAATCACCTACATTTGCTTAGTGTGAGTGAAAAATTTCAGTCTGGGGCTAAAGTACACTCAGCAGACTGGTAATGTTGCTGTTGTTTTAATCTTTGTATAATTCGTATAATTTTACTTAAGTATAATACAAGCTATTGTCCTTTTTCATGCTATTAAAATAGATTTACTTTTATTTTTCCTTTACATGGTTAATTGGTTTGAAAAGTTAAAAGGAATTTTGATCCTCGGAGGAAATGAAAAGAGTGAAATGCTTACAAGTCTGGCTGAAGATTTCTTCAACGTATTGCTGGTAAAAATATATTCATAATAAATTACATTGTGTGTATTTGTCAAAATAATTATTACTAGTTTAGCAACAAAAAGACTTTCACATGTGTTTCTATTTAATGTCCTTCTAAAGTTAATGTTACAATGGTTTCTGAAATAGATTATAAGTCTTTTTGAATAAATAGTTTGCCTTTATTTGTACTCGTTTTCTGTTCATGATTAGCATCGTGAAATAAAATTTTAAAAACTCAACAACGTAAGTGTTCAATGAACAAAAAAATTTCATCTTGGTCTAATTTTGATTACATAAATTATTGGTATGCTAATCCCAGGATGTCAAGTTTATAAGATCTGTGAGTTTTCTTCCCTTCAGAAAATTTTTTGTCATTGAGGAAATAATTTCCATAAATTTAACTGAAATATAATTTTGTGAAACCACACTTGGTATTAGAAAAAGTCTCTTATGTTCTTCATTAAGGATGAAATAATTTTAAAATCTTAAATGCTTTTTGATTACTTGCTTTAGGTACATGTTACCTGATTTTTATGCTGTAATATTTACGGTATCAAAATGATGTGTTTTGTTTTGTTTTTTATTGTAGGCTATATGTGATAGCAGACCTCAAGGTGAGCTTAAAAAAAGTGTACACTAGATATGATAATTAAAGTGTGCTGAAAGAGACATTTTAAAGTTATCAGTGTTAAAATAACTCTTACTACTTGTGGAGCCATCTTGAGGCAAGGTAATTCTGAGAAGAATGTGTATAATGAGGGTGGTGCAAAGTTTCTTGATGTAACGTAAATATACCACCAGATCTATATGCTTCAGCTAATAAACTGTAATAGAAAAGGGCTTGTCCTCAAGAGGGCTGTTCTGCAGACAAAGGACTACATTTCTCATTCATGTGAAAAAAGCTTGAATGGCAGCTGTAACTTTGTTTAATTTGAGGTTGCTCTGCCAACAGATTTCCTTGTAATTTGTTGATGTCAGTAATAAAAAAGCAGGATAGCCTGGTCTCCTCAGAGATGGCAACTAAACTGAGTTTTTCCTAAAAAGAACGTTGTTTCTCAGCTACTGTTACAGCTCAGCATAGCACAGGAGTCCTTCTTTATTCACCTTGTTATGAATATCACGCTGCTCTTACCTTTCAGTATAGCACTATGTAGAAAGTCGCTACAGACCATTAAGCTGTCACGATCAAAATGAAAGATTCATTTTCTTGTCCCTGGGAAGATAAATTCCAGGGTCTGAATTGTATCTCAGAGAGCTAAGTTATAGAATTGATCTGATTATATTTTTAAAATAGTGATCTCATGCCCAGGGGACTTATGCAGTGATGCACAGGAATAGAAACATCATAAAGAGCCATAGTTACTATAAATTGAAGTAACTATTCTGTCGTGCATTTAACCATGAAGCTTAAGATGTTTATTTCTAAATATCAGTAATCCTATGTAGAAAGGCAGGCACACTATATTTTGTTTCTAAATGAAAATGAATCTTTTTCCAAATCCTGATGAGGGAGCACCCTAATACACTCTGTATAACTTTTTTTTTTTTCCTGTTCGTTAGGTAAAATGCAAATCCTAGAAAACTTTATTCTGAGAACTTGTACCCTCATTGCTGATGTAAGAATTAGTATTTATGTTTTTTTTAAAGCCACAGTTTTCTGATTAGTGTTTTAATAGACTTTGTGAAGATAGTAATTTAACTGTACAGATGCTACAAAAAAAGAGAATATTGTAGTGCTCTAGTATCAGAAGGATGATTTAATGTTTCTCTGGGAATGTTTGTTGTCATTTATATGTTGGGGTTTGGTTTTTTGTTTTGTTTTGTTTTTTTTCAGATTACTGACCTGTAGTTTTTATTTTGGACAGTAAATTACAAAACAGTGGTATTGATTCTGGTGAGAAAGCTGTATAAAAGTGCAGGAAATAATATGCTTTATTACAACTGCTATAAATAGAATTAAGATTGTTGGTTGTAAATTCTTTAGATACTTGCAGGAAGTTTGTATACCTTCTATTATGCTGCAAATTTCTCCTATTTGTTTTAGTAACCTCAGGTTGTCAGGGTTTTTTTCCTCTCTAAAGAAAGGGAAAGTTACAAAAAAGTCCTCTGTAAAGGCCGCATCCTCAAGGGAAAGGCTTTTTAATGCAAATTTAAGGTACATTTTAGCTCAGCAATCAACTGCAGACAGAACTCTAGCTTTGAAAGTTCTTTTTCTGTATTTAAACCTGCAGATAAGAAACATAACCTTTAACAGCTGATGATCACATTAAAACTAATGTAATTAATTGAAATTGAGGTAGTTAAGATAAATAACAGTTAAGGTCAGATAGAACTCATTGTCTTTTCTTGTTTTGCAATTATTTGAGCATGTTATTTTCTTCAGTGGTATGAAATATATCACAAGGGCCCAAAATAAGAATAACTTAAACTTTAACAGCTTATTTTATAGTTAATCTTACTCCCTTTTTCCCATTCTTCTTAGGTAGTAAGAAAGCTTAACTTAATGCTTGACAACGTGCCTCGAGATGCCAGGAAAAAGATATTTTCTACAAAGGAAATGTTTCTTGTCATGTAAATAATCTTCAGTACAATTTTTATATCATTACATCATTTGCATACTGGGAAGGCAATTTTTACTAAGGCTGTTTATAATGCATGCAGTTTGGTCCCTCTTTAACTTACTTTTGCATTTGCTATTGCATTGCCAGTGGTAGTGGCTGTGGGCAGGTATTCTCATGGGTTATTCTCCATTACAAGCCTAAATTGACGTCTTTCCTGATCTGGTTTGGGCTTCTTCTCATCCCAGTTGTCGTAAAATAATTAAACTCTTATTTATAAGAATGTATGTAAAGCACAGTGAATCAGTCACTGGAAGATCAAGTTATTCGTGGCAGGAATTTCTTTTTACAGCATTTCAAAAAATAAATAGAATAAAAATTATATATATTAGGTGATTCACTTCCACAGTAGTACTTTCAGATGTGTATCCTTAGCGTAACAGACTTACCCCTTTGAAGTCTAACAGTTTAGTGGAAACAGGGTTTCGTCTCATACATTAAAAGCTTGTAATTAAATGAACTTTTCTTCTATGCTTTGTGTTGCTGTTGTATTTTGATGAAATGTTACTTTGTTTGGCAGGAGTGACATGGGGAGGAGAATTTTGGATGCTGGAGGTGAGCATGGGACTCAATAAACAATTTAGTATTGAGCTTCTTAAACATTACATGCAGACCAATTAAAAATCCAGAGAAGACATTTAGAAGCTGCAGAATGTTGCAGTTACAGTCCTCTGAAAAATACAAATACTGCATGAAAACAATTTGCAAACTGGAATGTTTCATATGAATGCAGTGTATGGCTAACTCTTTGAAGTTTTCAGTCCTTTCTTCTCTAGAATATAAGTTTTAAAATAGCAACAGCTCATAAGGAAGTCACTCGCTGAGGACAGTGAACTGCTAGCCATGTTTAGTGAACTGCTAGCCATGTTTAGTAGTACTGTAACTTCTCTCGGTGATCACTTTGGTATCCAACAATTTCCCAGTTCAGACAGGTGAAAGTTGAAAACTTCTTATCTCTTGCTTATATGCCTAGTGTTGCTCTGACATTCCTTGAAAGTTTGGTTGAAATTTCATATTGAAACATAAATTTTTTAGTCAACCTTATTCCCTTAGTTCTTTATCTATATATGGGTTACGTATTTGGATATTATGTGATACGTAATATGAAACATTCAGCACTGCTTATACCAGTTTCCTATGTAATAATATTTTTTTCACATCAGTAGTATCTTTAAAACTCATATTCCTACAAAATGTATTATGCTGTAGACTACGACCTGCAAGTAGCCATTACGGAAGCTTTATGCAGAATGATGTCAGAGAAACAAAGAGGAGAACTGGCGTGCCAGTGTTTTTCCATGGAGTTTGTGTCCAATGCATTTAAAGGAATTAAAGATTCTGAGTTTGAAACAGTAAGTCCTATGAAAAATATTTCCAGGCAGGTAAACTTCCGTTTTACATTTTTTTTTTTAAGAACTTTCTGTGTTTTGATAGGATTGCAGAAAATTTCTTAACCAAGTGAACGGCATGCTTGGAGACAAAAGAAGGTAAAACTGAATTTTTTAAAAGCTTATCTATTTTCTGTTTTGGATTTTATGGCCATTCATTGGGAGTAACCTTTGTATCACAAAAACTGTTTTGAGGAAACTCTGAATTAAAATAATACAAGCAAATAAGACTAATATTGCTGTGGTATAAAGTCAAGGAACCACACAGAGCTAAGATATTTTTAAAATATTAAATAGTAAAGAAATTGAGTAATACCATCTTTTGGCACATTGTCACTGATATTATCTTCTCTATCACGATGTTAATTTTATGTAATTCCCATATCTGGAAAAAACACAAACATAATATAAGTTTCAGATTATTAGATAACAGCTTGAAGAAACTGTTCACTAAATAAAGAACATTCATTTGAAAGGATTCTTAAACAATATAAGGTGTATGCTACACTTCCTTTAATAAATGTTTATAAGGAGATAGGTTTTGTATTCTAGTTCTGTTGCAAAATCCTGAGATGCTACTTAATTCAATAAGCATATCATCTAACCATAGCTACTAATCTGTTGGTATAAATTCCTTTATTTATTGATTTAGGATATTTACATTAAGATAATGATCAATGAGAATATCTGCTAGAGAAACAGGACACAAAAAGGAAGAGAAAATAGGAGCTTTTTTTCTTAATCTATATGATCACATGCTCTGCACATTACTTTTACATGTCATGACACCAGAGATTGTCTGGTATGTCTTTATATCAGGTGTAAATTCAGTTTGAATACCATTCTTAAAATATCGGCAGATAAGCTAGAAGTATGAATGTAGTGACAAGGTCTGAGACCACTGCTTTAATTGTGAGGATATATAAAATTTCATGTTATCAATCTCCTTTGGGGAAGAAGTGCAGTCAAGTGACTGCTCTTTTGATTGCTGTGATCTCTTAGTCTCTAAAGCACAGAAGTTTTATGCTGAAAACACAATCCAGTTGCTGTGTTCAGATATGCAAAATTTGTTTACAGCATTTTAGGATACTTGACAAAATATCCTTTTCTTACAGGGTTTTTACATATCCGTGTTTATCAGCAGCTCTTGATAAATATGAGGTAAGTTAGAGGCTTAATCATACATCCACAGATTTTAATTTGTGCAGCTGAAGAATTTCTTTGCCGTCTAGTTAAGAAAAAATAAGGATCAAGTAAGAAAATTGATTTTTTTTTTTTCAGGAGTATGCAGATGTGCATGTATTTGAAGTTTGTCAGACTGTAACACAAAGCCCGTTAGCTGGTATAAACCACTGCTCGCAGCTCTTACTCTTTTGTCTTAATTCTTTCGTTTAGCTACAGATACCATTGGATGAAAATCTTGAAGAATTTTGGATTGATTTCAATGTTGGTAGCAGAAGTATATCTTTCTATGTGGCAGCAGATGATGCAGTAAGCTAATTTTTGTCTGTCGTACTGGATTGTTCTGAGGCAGTAGATAGACATTCTTTCAAGTGTATCAGATTTTTTTCCCCACATCAACATGGGGAAGTTATGTGTGCATCCATAGTGTGAAGGCGACAAAAAAATCTAGACTTGGGGTACATATTTAAATCAAACAATTTCAAAGTAATGACTTTCTAAAACTGTTTGCCAACAGTTTAACGTATGCACACATGAAAAAGAAGCCATTTACAAAATTGCACTTATAATTTCTGTAGATGAAACTCAACAGTTTAGATTAATGACTCCACCAAAGCTCTTCTGAAATATTGTTCACTGTTATCAATGAAGCATACGTTCATTGTCACTCCTTGTAACAGAGGATTTAAAAAGTTGAAAATTTGTCCTCATTGAATAACTTTGATCACTGCACTTCATTTCATTGTAATGTAATGCTTTTTCTAGCTTTAAAAATATGTATTTTTCATATAAGGATCATCAGTGGGAAACAGTCGTTATACCAGAAGAAGAGGTAGACCTGTACAGCCTTGAAGGTATTGGCATGCAAAAATGTGACTTTTTGTTACACACTAACTTGGATTTTCAAATTGATTAACCCTAAAGTACTGACTCAATTCTCAGTAAAGCAAAATTCCCACTTACAGTATTATAGGTACTGTTTATATCAGGGATAAAATTGCACTGCAGTCACATTTGCATTTTAGGCATGCAGGTGGGATTTTATTAAAACAATTTTAAAATAATGTCTTATAGTTATTTCAGTGCAAAACAAGGCATAAGACAGTGACATTTAATAATATTGCTTTTAAACTAGTTAGAATAGTTTTGTAAAAACTATGATTTGTCTGCAGCTATAGTGAATATTCTCCAAAGAAAATTCTACAGCATAATATGCAGCATAAGGATTTCTAAAAGATTGAATCTTGAATTGTTTCACTAATAAAATTTATTGTAGGTTAGAGTGAATTAAATCAAATATAGATCTTAATAGCTGAGCTGAAGAAAACAAGTTTCATGTATTTACAAACATTAAATGAGATGTTGTTAAATTGTAATGAAACTACTTTTCAAATTTTGTTTTTGTCCAGAAAAAGATTCAAAGAAATTATTAACAATAGAGCTAAAAAGCCCAATGAATGTGGGTAATCAAGAAGGAGAGAAATTTTTTTTATGTTTTGATTCTATCTTGGAAATCAAAGATGTAACTAGAAAGATCTATGGATTTAGTAAATGTAAGGTAAGATTTAAACACCTTTTTTGAATAGTTTTTAATTGATTCAAAATAAATGTCTCATTACCACATAAATGTTGTTATAGCTGTGATTATTGGTATCTATTTATACTGAGAGTTTCTGATTAATATTGCTGCTACAGAACAGCATTTCTCTCATAATATGTTAAGCTTCAGCAAAGTTGCCTAATAAGGATGAGAGGAAACGGCTTTAAGTTGCGCCAGAGGAGGTTTAGATTGGATATTAGGAAAAACTTCTTCCCTGAAACGGCAGTCAGGCACAGGAACAGGCTGCCCAGGGAAGCAGTGAGTCCGCATCCCGGAGGTATTTAAAAGCTGGGTAGATGTGGTGCTCAGGAACATGGTTTAGTGGTGGACTTGGCAGTGCTAGGTTAACGGTTGGACTCAATGATCTTAAAGGTGTCTTCCAACCTAAATCATTCTATGATTCTAAGATTTAAAATTAATTGCAACAAAAATTAACTGGCTGGAAGGGGATCATCATAGCTTAATGTCAAGTTTTGCACATATAATTTTCCAGAAACACAAGAACTGGATGATTACAAATATGGAAGTCTTTCAGAAATGAATCATAAGCTATCTCATCTTGCACTGTGCTTTACACTCTTATGAATTTACTCATTCAGTAAAAAGTTTTTAGCAATCCATAGCTTACTCCTTACTGGTTGTAACAAATTACTTTGGCCTGAACTCTGACTGACTGAGAAACTCGTGAGGCGTGGTACTGCTATAAGCTTGTAGAGTCTATTTGCCCCTAAACCTGATTTCAGACACTTATGATCTCTGACTTAAATATTTTCTTTCTGTTCCTTGTTTTAAAAAAGTGAGCAAAGTATATATTTTACATAGGTGGTTACTCATTTTGTAGGGCTTTAGTAAGAAGCAGTCTGCATCAGTTGCCAAAACAACTGTACATGTCGTCTTTGATGAAAGCGGATCACAGGTATTTTACTTCAATTTGCTAAGATGGTTGTTTTCTTGGTTTTTATATTTAGTCTGATTATTAGCTAATTTATGACCATTCACCATAAAAACAAGGACTTTTAACAATGCCAGTAAGTAAAGATAACTGCAAAACCAGTTAAGTGATTTCTGGTAAGTATGTATTGTATATTTGGGGAGATTATAATATTAATATCCAAATAATATTAATAATTAATATCAGAATACTTCAGACAAATATACACAGGGGAAGTTCTTTTGTGTGACTTGTGATTTGGTAACCCATGCTTGTTAGTGAAAATAACAATTAGGTTGGATGCTTTTCAAAGTAAAAGTATATAAGGTCTGAAGTTAATGAAAATCTACAGTGAGGAATGTGTTACTTGAGGTAAAGAAGTTGCTCTGTGTGTGTTTGTATAAATAGAAAATATAAAACATAATAAAATCCAAATATTATATAAAAAAATGTAAAAAATCAAAAATATCATATAGGTTCTGGTACCAGAAAGTCAGTTGTCACCATGTTTGGAAGACAAATATGAAGAAGAGGAGAGACCCAGTAAGTACAAAACCCAGCAACTTCCTGGAACTTTGAGGACTCTGAATAAAAATAACAGTCAAGAAAAATGCAGAGCTGGTTCCTCCAAGGTAAGTAGGATTATCAAAACAGAAAAGGGTACATCAAAAATACAAGTCAATTTAAATATTTATCATATTCTATAATATAAAACCTCTGTTATTTAACAGTTGGAATATAATTAATACAGGGTTTGATTGTTTTTCTTATGACGACACTAAGCTATATAAATCCCTTTGTAAAAAAAATTTCTCATTATTATGTATTTTGAAACTGTGACCATGTGACAAAAATAAAAAGCAATTGTTAAGGGCCTTCAGACCATTATGCTCTGAGAATTATCTTTAAAGAGAAATGTTTTCAAGACATGCTTAGATCTCTTAGATCTGCGAAAGTCTAGTATAGCCTCTGGAGACTTACCCTGGCGAGATCAGCAATCGTAATAGCTGTAATTAGAGACAAGTCCTATAGGCTTGGCATTCACAAAGACTGATGATTACAAAAACGCATGTGGTTGTCAAGATGAATCCTGTATCCTGGTTATTGAAATCACAATTTCAGGGGCTCCTCCTATGCATAGCTGATTCTCTGGTTTAAACTGAGAGGAGCCCAGTTTGTTAAGCCTGGTGTTTCTTTTGCCCCACGGTCATTCTAAAGTTATAAACATATTATGGTTATACTAGGACTAACTACAGATATGCTAGGGATGGGGGAAAAGATGAAGCAGTGTCACCATGTCTTCATCATGCAACAGACAATGCAGTGCATGTCTTGCTAGCAGTACTCTAGTAAACCTGTTCCTGAGGTTCTGCTGGTTTATGGCTTATGTGATGGCTTTGCAGGAACTCCTGGGAATCATCTTGGTTACTTTGATTGTTAACAAGGGAAAGGGTTTGTCCATACTTTATTGAATTAATTTAGAAAACAACAATCACTGATCTCAGTTTAAAACCATTAGTTTTAAGTATTACATAATTCAAGTATTTTGGTGAACTAAAAAGGGAACTGCATAAAAATCACATTACATTGATGGGTGCAGCAACAACAATTGACGTTCCAATAATAGAAAGTGTCAAAAGGCTCTTGGAAATAGATTTTCTAAAATCTTGTGTTGCCATCCTTAGATCTGTGTATTATGGTCAAGTTTTTTCTGTTCCTCAAGGTAACTACATCTTGTAAAAGGAAAGTATCTGAAGCATCCGTGCTTATTCCTGGAACTACAAGGTTTTCCACAGGGAGTCCACTGGTATTTGTTAGCACACGTAAGTTTACAAGTAATTTCAAGGTAAAAATATGCTATTAATCATCCTTGAAATACAAGGATGAACTGTGATCCTTTACAGACCTGGAAATGAAAAGTAGACCTTATAAAATCTCCCTAGCAGGTGCTTTAAACTTGAAATTTTTAAACTGGGCCACTTGCTACTGGTCGATAGACATGATGGCGGATGGTAGCTGCAGGTGCATTCCAAACAGCTGAAGGCCACTTATCGTTTTTACTGCTGCTGTCAGTCAGCTGTTCGTGCTGGAGCAAGCTGAGAAGTCAGCAATTGATTAGAAGACCTAAAACATAGGTGTTTTTTCATCTCTCTCCTCATATGCTCTTGGTTTAAAGAATTCGCAGTAGTTAGTGCTTTTATAGCAGTGGCAGTGGAAAATTGGCTTTCTCCAATGTGTACATCTATCACTTGCATTTTACTCTTCTCTAGAAACTGCATGTGTTTCTTCAAGGGGCAGGTGATTATATGGCGAGTGAGCAAGGTGGGATCCACTGCAAGATTGAGTCACAGGTCCAGTGCTACTGATGCTTACATCAGAAGTGCTTCTTACAGAGAAAAGGATAAGGAAGAGACTATCACAAATAGGGAGTCATCACTTTCCTACTGTAACAGATATTTAATGCTTTCTACAAGGGAGAGATTTGTAAGACAAAGACCAGTAGAGGCTGGTGATGCAACTAGTGGCAGAACAGCACGACTAACAAACTTAATTTTCTTGCCTTTAACTGTCCGAAGTGCATCAGTATCCTTAGTTATGTATGTCCCTGTATCACATAAAAATTAAGAGTAACAGAGGCTGGAAAAGAAAGCATTTTCAGATTAGGATGGAACAAGACAGACGAATTCTGTAACTTCTTTATTTGGAACTTAACCACAGAGTCTATTCCAACAAAAATATATTACAGTAAAATCTTTAAATAGATGACCAACTGTTTTCTAGCAGACCCAAGCTGTAAAAAGCATTGCTTGCCTCTAGACCTCCACAGTCTGTGGGCTCATTAACCTCCATGTAACTTAACTGAAATCAATAGAATTATGAAAGGTACCTAAGGAGTTGATATAAATACTAGCCAACTTTTTTTGAAGTTTGTGGAATGGATGTGATCATGGGCAAAATTCTTCATGTTGATGTCACAGACAGCACAGTAATCATAACAGAAGAAATGGTGGAATTCTAATATGTCTCTGGTTTGTTTTCAGCCACTCCTTGTAAAGGACGATTTAAATTGCCTTTGGAAATGATAAGCTCTGCTGAAAGGTCTAACAATAATGCAACAAATGAGACCAGAACGAAGAATTTCTATCAAGAACCTACTGGAGTATGCATGTCATCTGTAGCTAAGTGTTTTACTTAGAATAACGTTAATTTCTATTCTAATTTACAGCATTGGCTTTAGTGCATTTTTGATTAGGCATTCACTGAAATCCAACAAAACTACGTAGGTTGTCACTGAACTGCAGTTTGGGTATGTGGTTTTTTGCTTCTGTTCCAGTGAACAAAGACTTCAAAGTAACATTTTTATTTTATTTCTGGTTCTAAACGTCTTTCTCAGTGAGATTCAGGTCAAATCCTGGTCTATGGGATTCTGAAGCATTTTTTTGATATAGCCATGCTTTAGAAAAAGGCTTTAATATATAGAATGTGCAGTTTAGAATATTTGAAGTGTTACTTTCTAGGAGAATTTTACTACTTCTGCTTTTATAGATTGTAATTGCCAGTGTTATTTATTGTGCTTTTTAGAGTGGGCAAAGATGTACACTAGAGAATGAATTTTGTGAAACGGAACAGAAGATCAGGAAGTCAAATACCAGAAATGAGGCAAAGCTACCTGAAAAGGTACTGGAATCAGCACTTCTATGAAATGAAAAAATAGTTTCATATTTTGTTAGGGAAAATACAAGTTTACGAGGTTATACTGTTTATGGTCCTACGCTAATATTTTCTTTTGAATGTTATCCCACTGTAGCGAGTGTGTGCTGAAGAAGTTTTAGAAATGATACAGGAGGCAAAAATTAAGGCCACACAAAAGCAAACTTTAGGCAAGTAATTTTACAAGTGTTGATAGTCCTTACTTTTAAAATTATTTCAGTTTTGTCCATTTCTTTTGTAATAATAATTGATACCAAATTAATGTCTCATTTAGATGAAGCATTAGATATTGTTCCTGATTCTCAGCCAGTAGGGAGAAGCAGCAAACCTTTGTAAGTATTGGGAAAGGATACCAAGTCACTGCTGTTATCACTCACTTTGAAGGGAGTATTTTCAGCTATTGCCAGAATTGAGATTTTGTTACATAGTTTCAGAAAATGCCAGGATTTAATTGTCTTGTCTTCCCAGAGGGTTGCATTAAGAACTGTTTGCTGTGTAAGTCAGGTCACTTTTACTATGTAGTCTTATTTTTTTTATTCTGAAATTCATGGCACCAAACCAGCACTCTTATATGTATTTGCTAAGACTACTTCATGAACAGTACTATTCCATTGTCTTAATCAAAGAATTTCAGTTGGTGAATCTGTTTATGAAAACAGTACTCATTAACAAGATCAGAGTAGGAGTTTAAGTAAGCTTTAGTAGTAACAGGGAGAGTAATTCTTTCAGATGACATCAGAAGGTAAAATGGCATATGGGTTTACGTAAGTGAACTATGCCACAAAAAGTAGTAAATTTGACACACCACAGAGTTATCTAGGTTCAAGGTTTAATGATGGCCATAGGATACTGTTGCCTTTTTGAAGTTGACTTAAAAATATAGGTTATTTCTGAAGGTTTGCCATTTTACAGTGCGTTGGTTAATTGAACAATGGTAGCAGGCTTAAGTACCAATGTAAAAATGCATTGATATCTACAAGATATCACTATTTTCCTATTTTGTGATGCATGTTTATTATAATTAAGAATCACTTTCTGCAATTCACTAATAATAAGATGGTATTATCTTTGTTAGGCTGCCTGGTCTTTTGGAGAGTTCTTTTGATAAAACCAAAACATTGAAAAAAAGAGCATGCTCTGTTCCTGAGAAGAATATAATAACTGGTGACAAGCAAAAGCTAAATCCGTCACTGGCACGTATGTCCCATACAGGTTATGTTCACACCTCAACTGTTAGTGTTAAAAATGTTTCAGATGAATTTTTAACGTACAGCTGTGCGCTTTTTTTTTCCTGTATTCATTTCTATTGTTAGTGAAAGAATTGTGAAACAAAAAGCTTTTTATTCAATTTTTTGAAGTATCTGTCCAGATAAACAAAGAAATTAAAAAAGAGAAGAAAACCAAGAAAATTAAATTGATACCATGGGGGAAGAAAACTGCAAAATCCTTAGTGGACAGTCAGAGTGTTAATCAACTAGAACAGAAACTGTTAAGGGAAAAATATTTAAACTACTACTGAAACATCATTTAAAACATTTCTTTCAGCTAGAGTGTCCAAAACATCTTTGCATTCTGATTTTAAAAAAGAGGAACCTAATGTTCTCTTTAGAAAAGAGACTGCAAATCCAAAGCAATCAAAGACGGTGAGAGTTTCTTTACCTTCATTTTTTTGACTTGGAATTAAGAGAATTGTCAAATTTTCAGTGTTTCAAAATTTGTATTTTACTTTCTTTTAGTCACAAACATATTTTTAATTGATTTTCCACTAATACAGGGTGAATTAAATAATGTCAGCTTCACTGTTTACTTTTTCAGTGTGACCTGTTTAAGATTATTTACTCTGAATTTCATTTTTAAAATCATCTTTTTAAAAAATAATTCTTAACTAAGCACCAACTTGTGCTTCTCATGCCCTTCTTCATTCACTTTTGAATGTTACAGTACACAAAACCACAGCATTTAAAAGAAAGTATCTGCTAAACTGGTTCAGTTTTATTGCTCGCTGTTTGGGCAATGCAATGGAAAATGGTTTTCAGAGGAATGTGATTTAGTACATCTAGAAGACATTTAATGAAGTTTAGGTGATTGTTGGGAACCTGTAGTTCTATTTGCAGCTTTGCTCTTCTGTTGAATGGGTTCAGAGTCTTAAACTTTATTTTTATAGAAAACAAAGTCTAAAGAACTGACAGATGCAGCAAAATCACTAATTAGCAAAATCAGTGACAGATATAAAGTGAAGACTGATGAGAAATGCAAAGCAAGAGACTCCTTGGGTTTTAACAGGTATGATGTGAACTATTTACTTTTGTGCTTTTTGTGCATGTGGCTTTGTCTGTGATCTGCTCGTCTGTCTACAGCTATTTCACATCCTGCTTTCATCTGAATTGTTTGTTCAGTTCTGATAAGCCCCATTGTACCAAAGAGTAGGAGACTGGTAGTCGAATAGTTCCAGTAGCTGAAATAACTCCAAAGGCTATTAGAAACTCCATTCAGTGGTCTTTGGCTCATTCACTCACTCACAACACATTCCGTGGAGAGAATTTAACTGGGATAGTTCATGGGCACTGCACGTGTTGCGTGTCTCCATCCTATCATCATAGTTTGGGAGTCAAACTTGAATTCAGTCATCAATTTTCTGATTATCTGAAGTTCCTAGTTCTCTCTTCCTGAAAGAGTTGACTGTTCGAGTGTTTAAATTTAACAAATACTTAAATAAGAAAAATAGTCTTACCTTTCTGGAACTGATGCTTGGAGATATACTTTACATATAATTACATGCTCTCCATGTTTGATTTTAACTGAATGACGAAGGACTGGAATAGTTAGGCTACGTTGCCTTTTAAACCTTTTGGATAGGGACTTGGAAAACATGCAGAACCTGCAGTTTTAATTCATGTGGAATGAATTTTTCTAGAGCACAAAAGTGAAAGGGGCTGATCTCTTAATCCACTTGTTTTTGTTTTTAAATGCCTGAATAAATTTGTTGTGTTTGATAAGGCTTTTATTTATATAAGCAATATTCTAATGCTTATATTCTAATTAGCATTTAACAAAATATATCCTTTTTTTTTTTTTAGGCCACATTTAATTAAATCCTGTGTCTCTAAGGTAACATGTTATTGCTTTTGTTGGAAATTTTTTTCATATCAGATATATTTACGTATATGGTGGTAGCTAGTAGATGTAAAGTGAAAGTTCACAAATATTGCTGAATGTTAAATATCTGTAGATGTTAATGTTAATTATGCATTGACTGTATATACTTAAAATACCTTTTATATATTTACTTATGTGGAATAATATTTTTACAGGCAACTATCAGCCAGTGAAGCCCAAATGAATTTCTGTTTACTTATTATATAATTGAATCTGTTCCTTTTGAACATGGCAATACTAAATATTTAGAATAAAAATGTTTATAGTAAATGACATTATAGAATCCTTAAATGGGATATAGCCGGGACACAGAAATTAGCCTTAATGTTTGGGGAGAAAAATTCTGAGGTTTGGTTGATATCCTTAAAGGATAAATTCTAAAAGATTTAGTTTCTACTAGCTCTTGTCCCCTTTTGCCATATTGTACTGTTGCTGATCAAGTGGAAGTCTGAGCAGCCGCTGGGTTTTTTCGTATGTTCATGATGCAGAACTTGCTTTTTGAGATGACAGTGTGTAGGAATGCATAGTCCAAATCTGACATATGAGTTAACTGTTTTATTTATGTATAGGAAGCAGTTCAGGATAAAAACGTGAAAACCACTACTTTTCTTAATGTAACTGCTGGTCATATTATGTAAGTAGTTAAAACATTTTCAAACAAAATTTCTAATTACCCATACCTAACTTTGTGAAATATTCATTAATTCAGTCACAAAATTGATCTGTGTGTCTGTTTGACAGGGATGACGTCTACAACTTTAACATCAGTGGGTTTGATGAGCCTACAATAAAGCTTGGAGTAAGAATATAACTGAAGCTGATACGTTATGAATAGGATATAAAGGAGCTCAGCTTAAATTATGTCTACTGAAAGTATAGTTAACATCTAAAAATGCAAATTATATCACTGAATTAAGTGGGGAAAAAAGTTTGCCATGTAAATACCTCCATCGCTTTCAAATGTGTAATGATATGCGCTACCCTAAGGTTCTGGCCACGTAAAGCTATTACGATGTTTTCCTGAATTAAGAATAAAACAGTTTGTTAGGAGTATCATTATTTTTAAATTATCCTATTATCCTGAAAGCATTATTGCCATCCTTCCAATCCCTACTGTAAAGACATCTTTGCCCAGATGTTTGAGTGAAAAGAAAAGCTAGCTAAGATAAAAGCAAGAGACAACAAAAGATAGTTTTGCTTCTTATGGCTCAGAGGAGCCTGCTGAATTGGTGAAGGTAGTGAAGCAAGTGAATGGGAAACTAATGTATTAGTTTGAGATATTGAAAGTTTCAGTCAGTTCCAGCTGGTTTTAACTATCAATCAGCTCTGTTCTTAACTTACGATGATTAATTTCTACCTTAGAAATTATTTATTTGCTGAGTATAAAAACTGGGCATAAAAGCCCTTAGCTGTTACAGTCTGGTGGCCTGTTTAATTTTGTTTAAGTTGTATAACAAATGAAAATCTTCATTTGTTTCTTACTTATTTACCTTTTTAGATCCAAGAATTGCATGTTACTGAACTGAGTATTCGTACAGATCCAAACAAAAAAGGGTAAGGATGTTATATTGTGTCCTAGTCTGCTGATTATTGTGAAGAATAGTACTGTCTGCATTCTCCAGCATTCCATTATGAAAATCCAGGGAATGCATGCATGACAATAATATCTTGACAGTGTTGTTTTTCCAAGCAATGAAAATAGCTGCTGTGGTCTCCTAGGCTGTTTCATGATTTTCCTTTGGGAAGCTGATAAAAAGGAAAGAATGTGTTTCATAAAGAAAACCGCTTTAATTCTCTTCATGGAATACTACAGGGATATAAACGCCTGAATAGAGGGGGCTAGTTTTTTGTTAATGATCAGCCTGCAAAGGGACATATTGTTACTATGTGTTCTTACTGCTCATGAGCAAATAAGCGTATCCTCTAGAGTTTAAGGTGAACAGATATTTCCAAAATAGATGTGAAATCAAAAGTAGGTACATTTGTTTGAATCTGTAATGCACCTATCGCATGAATAGTAGAAAGATTTAGAACAAGTATTTTTAAATGTATCATTTAAAGGTATTTTTTCTTCTTCGAATTAAGGAACGCAGATGACAGTAAAACTAGCACTGAAGTGAAAGGAAGAAGAAAAGTAAGGCTCAGATTTTTGTGGATCAGTATACCTTATCTTTCTGCCTTTAAATACCAATTATGTAAGTGAAAGGTATATTAAAAGTAAATCAATAACTTAAGAACTTACTTGTTTTTTGTAGACTAGAAACAATCAAAACAAGAAGCATCTCTTTAGTGACACAGACACAGAATACAGAGGTGATGACAGCAAGACAGACATTAGTTGGCTACAAGAATCAAATAGGAAATCTAAAGCCCAGTTAATTGATTACAGTAGAAATAAAAACCTAGGGAAACCAGTAAGAACAGACAAAAGTAAGAAACTTTTTTCATATTTCTTAAGAATGCTGCAATATGTTTGTCCATAGATACTAACTGCACAGCATGTAATGTGCTGTGTTGCAGATACAATATGTTTTTGTTGTCTTATTTCCAAGCACAAGGAATTTTCAAACTAGTTCTAATCATTTATAAAGGTTAATTTCCAAAAGGTCTGTATATTAATGTGGAAAATTATTGGAGGATGGGACAGGCAGAGGTAGTTGTCAACAAAAAAACCTTTGGCTTTTTAAAATAATGTGCTCAAAGTAGTTTACTGAATCAGTAAGTTTGCAGGCATAAAAGTGATTCTGTGATTTTACAGCTAAAACTCTAAATGTCAAATATTTGAATTTTTTGCTGATTTTCCTAACTTTATGTATTGTAACAGCAGATAAATTCTCTGAACCTGCTTGCCGCGTGGATAAACCTAAAGGCAAAAATGCAAATAAGAAAAAGGTAAATGTAAATTTGCAACTAGACTTGTAATACATATTCAAAATGTCTTACCTCACTACAGAAACTGTTTTTAAATAGTTTTTCATAAATACGTGCATTTCTCCATGCTTATTTCAAGATCATTTGTTAAATACAGTTTGTTCTTTTCAGGTACTGTATTCTTTTTATGTAGTATTTAGCTAGTATTTCAGGCATAATACTAGCTATGAGTTAGAATGATTATTATACATTGATGCTTTTCTAAGTTTTATTACTTAAAATTATTGATTATGTCTATTTACTGCTTAATAACCATCCGCTCCATTGAATATGCCATTAGTTTTTCAGCGAGGGTTTTGTCTAATGTGCTTAACTGAACATTAATACCTTTGAGATTGATTTCTTTAAATGAATATATGTAACACAATGAAACTGCAAAACCAAAATGTTATAGATGTTAAGAAAGAATAATAATTGCAAAATATTGTAAGCTTATTAAAGGTGGGAGTATAATAAATTATAAGTGATTATGAAAATGTTAATGGAAGGTTTTCATAGATGTTTGTAAGACAGAGTTTAAAAAACAAAACCAAAAAAACCCACCAGAAAAACACAAAACCTTCCCCTGTCCCCTCCAGACTACTCTTTGGTCTCTCAGATTATACAATAATATATTATATATATATCTCTCTCTGTACAATAATTATTTAAATCTATTTAATGTTAGTAGCTTAAAGCTACATACATGCACTCAAGGTAAATCATGCATATGAAAATACAATCACCACATGTAGGAATTGATGGTGATGTCTAGTCCATGTAAATCAAAACTGAAGAGGGCTTCAGTTCTGAACAGGGCTTCAAAACTGAGGAGGATTTCAATTGCCCAATGTTGAATCGGTAGACTGACTTACTAAAATGTGTCTTTTTTTAGTAGCGAAATTCCCCAGATCTACCCAAGCAAGTTCAAAGTGCCTACTTTGAGGAGGTAGGGTTCCACTACTGCGTAGACTTAGATGGAGAGCATCTGAAGCCCAGGAAGTCCCTAATAGACTTGACCCTGGAGATGAGGAGGCTAGGAAAGCGTACATTTTGCATAGAGCACTTTTCAAGAGAGTAGGAGGCAAGAATTCTAATCTCTCGTAGTCTGAGAAGCGTTGCACTTACATTTTACATCCCTTCTAATGTCAGGTCCCTGGGGTGCTTTCAGTGAGAACACGCTTTGCTCTATTTCTTTCTGAACATTGACTGCTGTGTAGAGAGAGTGGCACGAGTTGTGATGTAGCAGGGGGACGGATAGAAAGGAAGACTGATTCTAGTCTAGTGGTTAAGGTAATCAGTTCAGGGGTGATGATCAAGGATCCTGGTTCCTCCTCACTATGCAGGCTTTTGGTTTTGTTCTATTTCAAACCAGTTCCACTGTAGTTTAAATGTGCACATATTTTGGAGAGCAAGCTTTGGAAACCCACTTCAGCTTTGCTGTAGTTCAAAAATGGCATTTATTTTGCCTCTTCACTTCTTTGACTCTCACATTCCTGACTGCAGTGTGCCCTATCTACAGTGAAAATTATCTTCCCAAATGTGTAGTAGACTGATGGTTGGACTTTGAGCTTTGGTAAAGTTAAACTTTTTAGTTGTTTTGAAATAATGGATTTCAAGTAAATTAAACCAAGCTATCTGCCATTTGTTCTTATATATATATTTATTAATCATTCTGATATAAACTGAAGATGTTCTTATTCTTCCAAAGATAAATGAATGTAAAAAACAGAATTCAAGAATGGATGAAACAATAGAACAAACCACCAGACAAAAACGACCTCGAAGAGCAGCTTTAGCAAAAAATTACAAAGAGCCTTCCAGTTCAGAGTCAGAGAGCGAAAGGAAATCTTCAGCGTGCACCTCTAAGGAGGAGAAATCAAAAATACAGGTATACAGTTACACTTTATTCTTAAAAATCCACTTCTGCCATATTTTTCAAAATAAACTCTGATCTCCTTTGTACTTAGTACTCCTGAATTTTAAGTGCCCAACATGAGCAAGTTGAACTGAATTTTATTTATTATTTCTGGTAGTGCCCTTTTTTAATTACGAGTATTTAGCTGTGAAGAAAATCAGTCCTAAAGAATCTTATCAGTCGTGTTGAAATTTATTCTGCTGCAAAGACTACAAAAACTGTGTCCTTTATTTTAAAAACTGAACGATATTATGAAAATGTCTATTAAATGGGAGGTTTTAGTGAGCCAAATTTTGTTCTTTTAGATAATGTGATTTTGATAATGCTATGCCAATTCTGTGTGCAATAGAAAATGCTGACTTGACAGAGGGTATGTCAATACATTTGCTGAATATCCAAATAGGATTTTTAGTAAATTAAGCAATGACATCGGGTGCTAAAACATGTTCATTCTTTTAGCATAACATTTCAATGTATATGGATAGGTCTGTAAACTTCATTGATTAAATCCTGAAGCATTGGTAATTGCTTCCAATAGCTAAGAAGTTCAGAAGAACAGAAATTTGGGTGCTGAATTAAACAAATGCAGTGCTTATTGATATTAGAACACTTGATATGAATTTAAGCACTTCTAATGATGTTTCTTTTGGAACCTTCTGCCTGTTCAACGGTACAAATAGATAATTTGCTCTTTACCTGCATATATAGACACTTCTGTATGTTTACAAATAATGTTTATATAAATTTTGTATTTTAATAGAAACATACGAACAGGGAAAACAAGGATGATAATCAGCAAAAGGAACTCCAGGATATTGTATCTATGGAGCCAAAGAGAGTAGCTAGCTATGTACATAAAGCGTTTAATAAATCAAAGAATTCTGCAGAACAAAAGGAAATTGAAAAGGCTTCATCTGAGAGTCCTGCATCTCTTGAGACAATGAGATGTAGGTATTTTGACTTTTAGTTTGTAGCAATACTGTATCAAAAGTTGGAGGTAAATGAGGATTATCACAGTAGTACAATTTTACATTTATTTCATGCTTTTAAAATAAGAGATATCCCCTAATTCAGGGGAATTACGTGTACCACATAATTTAAGGAAGTGTATTAATATGTCACTAATGCTTTTATAGGTTGGTACAGTTACTTGACATCAGCATAATATAGAAGTGCAATACCTAAGTGTTAAAACGAATCTGGTAACCGCTAAAATAATGCGGAGAGTGCAAAAAGTGCAGGTGTGGCAAGTTGTATGCTGACACTTAAAGTAAAATTCCACACATCTGAGACTTGCAAATACCTACAGTTGGAACAGTTAGCAATATGGGGCTTTAAGTTACCTTTTCTTCTTTTCATCCCTCATACTGACAGTTAAGTAACTGTTTTCTAGGTGCTGAAAGAGTATCAGAAGGAGATGTTACTCAAGAGCACACTTATAGCGAAAGATCACCTGGTCTTCAGGAGTCCACACTAGAAAAAAGGGAAATGTTAAACTTTGAGAAAGGAATCTCTCCCAATAACTTCTGTCCACGAAAAAAGAATATTCAAAGTATATGTCTAAATCAGTCCCCTGAGACAACTGTTAAAAAGTTAACATTTGGAAATAAAAGTTTCTCACCAGTTTTAACTGAAGCATCTTTGGTAAGAATATTAAAGTTACTCTACAATTATTTTAACTGAAATTGTTCCGTTCAGCTGCCAACTGTTTTATGCTTTTGTATGTCTCCTTTCAATAATGATTTTTTTGTTTGTTTGTTTATGTGTAGCTTAGCTTAACGACATATAAAACTGTGAGTGGAAAACGTGCAAAAGGATCTGTATCTGAAACACGTGATAATAATGAAGATTCAAGTTTCAGACATTGCTTTTCAGACACGCTTTCTACTAAAGGAAAACTACAAGACATCACTAAACCGATCACCAAAAGTAAAGAAGAGGTATGTTACTAAATCCTTTGCTCTTCAGGAGAGAGCTGCAGCTTTTCATCTATTTATTTACTTTACAGATGGGGAGGTTTAAGGGAAATGCATCTTTCTTAGTTAATTTTTAAATGTTTGAGATAAATTAGAGAATTGTTTATTATATGGATACAAGGAAAGAATTGTATCCGAGCCAGATCAATTATAATTAATATATTAAAAAAATAACAAGGAGTAAATATTTTCTTCTTGACTTTCAATAAAAAATAAACTATTTTTCACAAATTAAAGAATTGTGACGTCTGCATGGAAAAATTCTTGAGGTGAGAAAGTGCTCTTATAGTTTTCACATTAATGTCCTACTCAATAAAACAGCTATTGTAGCATTGGTAAATAAAAAAGAAAAACCCTGCTGTATACCTTCAAACCACTTCTTTAAGTACTTTTTCTGGTGAAAAAAGCATTAATGAGTCCTTTAAGAAATAATTTTGTTTGTGCCCTATTGCAAGAAACAGTTAGACCTTATTGGTCGTTTGACTTATTGCTATCATTAATTATTAACTTGGCGAAGAATTTGTTTATTCTTTCATCTAGTGAGACCTAGTAGTAATTCACGCAATGATTTTTTTTTTCCCCACCTGTAGTTGTCTTCATGTCCCTAGTTTAATGAAAAGCAATATAAATGTGGATTTCTGATGAAGACTTTTAAAAGTGCTTTAATTTGGAAGCTAATAAATCAGTGACTTTTCTTTTAGGATTGTGTACCACCATCTCCATTGTCTGCTTCTAGTGGAAGTAAAGTACACTCTTGGAGTGAAGAACCTTATGGCCCCATACATGAGTCAGGTACAAACGTTTAATTTAAAGCAAAAGACTTTCTATGTGTTTCTGTAAAGGTTAAGAAATATGTTTATTTGGCATAAAAATATGGCCCAAGTCTTTCAATCTTGTTTTCTTTTATATATTTTCAGTATTATTCCATTTTTACTCTTTTTCTCATTTTCTCTGCTGTTTTAACTACCCCCAAAAAACCCCAAAAATTTGCCTCCAAAATGCAGTTACTGTAAAGAGTTAGTTGCACTCTTAAGAAAGAGTTAGAAGCATTCCCACTGATACTGGAAAAAAAGTGGGGATAATGGTATTACCAAGAAAAGAGGGCTTAGGAAATCCTGTTGTTCATTTACATCAAGTTCTTATATCTACCGGACATGCCCTCCATAAATGTAATGCTTATTAATTTTTATGTAGTTCTCAAGCTTTAAAGCCAAGACACATACTTCTAGAGTTTGGATCCAAAGGGTCAATAAACTCTTCTTTATCCTCCCATGTCATTGTTCTAAATAATCCTAAAATTAAACATTATTTTCATGTTTATTAAAGGACCGAGTATACAGACATTTCTCAAACGAAGGTACCACAGTGATACAGAAAGCAACTCTGATGAAGCAGAAACAAGCAAAGAGGAGGAAAAGAAAGGAAACAGAACAACAAAGTTACAGCCTAGAAAATTATTTAAAACAGATGATGCTGTTACTTACAGAGGTTAGTTATGGAGTGAAAGTTGTCTATAGTTGTGCAAAAGTTTAAAATAACATAACAAATTAAAGTTTTAACAACAAAAGATAATATCCACAAAAAAGCATTCTACATGTTTAAAAAAGGAAATAGAAAGAAATGCTAAATATTTAGAGACTACATCCATTTAAAAAGTCAGAAAATTGGTATGAAAATAGAAACTGGTCTCAGCCATCTAATTGGTGAAATTAATCTATATATTTAACAAAAGCTGTTCTAGGCCCTGTTGTAACTTCAGATAGGATACTTTTTCGTACTGAATTGTGACATTGTCTTTTTTTACTTCTCTTTAGTGTCTGAAAGCATATCTACTGTATCTGTAAATGATCTGTCTGTTTTGGATGGGGAAATCTGGGAACCTGGTTGTTCAACTATCAGTATATGTCAGAAGCTCCAACAAGAATTTACTAAGAAAATTGAGGCAAGACATTTTGTATACAATATTAGTTGCCTGTGTGGGCACAGTGCACATGAATGATAGCTTGTCTTACACCACAGAATTTGCTTAAAAGGACATGAAAATAGCTATGCGCATAGAACTTCAAGAAATTACAGAATTCAAGTTTCCTTTTATGCCTTTTTCAATTCATTCTTGTATGTAACTCTCCAATGACTTTATTTCTGAGGTCTGTTTTATTTTTTTATCCTGTTTGTTGTTTCAAAACAAGCTTATGTATCTAAAGTATATGAGCGTACTGCATTTGACTTTTTTCAAATTATCAAACCCATGAATGAAATTTATTTGCAAAAAAGGAAAACATAGAATCATAGAATGGTTTGGGTTGGAAGGGACATTAAAGATCATCTGGTTCCAAGCCCCCTGCCATGGGCAGGGACACCTTCCACCAGACCGCGTTGCTCAAAGCCCCATCCAGCCTGGCCTTGAACACTTCCAGGGAGGGGGCATCCACAGCTTCTCTGGCCAACCTGTGCCAGTGCCTCACCACCCTCAGAGTGAAGCATTTCTTCCTTATATCGAATCTAAATCTACCCCCTTTCCGTTTAAAGCCATTACCCCTTGTCCTATCACTATTTGCCCTTGTAAAAAGTCCCTCTCCAGACATGAGCCTGAATAATGCGTTTGTTCATCTAAGACAGCTGTAAGCACACATCATTCATTCCATGTGTACTTTCTCTCTTTTGAGGAAATATATTTTTCAAATAATGTACTTCTAATTAAGTTAGGTAGAATTTTATAAAAAACATAAACCCACGTTTATTTACATTTCATTAACAGAGAGCTTTTCCTTAAAGGATAGGGAGATAATTAAAAAAAAAAAAAAGCTGTTTTGCTCAGTTTGATCTGTGATACTAAGCAATTACAGTACTAAACATACTACAGTTTTTTTTCCCCTAAAGTGAAAATAATCTGAATTTAATGTTAAAACATCCTCATAGAGCCGCTCACAGAAAATGGATCATTTTACTAAGCAATCATTAAGAGCTGCCCATGAGCATTTGACAACAATGAGTTACCAGCTTCACGAATGCAGGTCTGTAACAAAAGATTTATTTTAAAACACCCTTAAAATGCAATGAATACCTTCTAAAAGTAACTCATTTTGTTTTGGTAGGATCAGGCAGCTGGACAAATTTCATTTTGCTCTCCTTGAGGAACTTGAGAATTTTGAAAAAGATTCTCAGTCCCTGAAAAACATGGAAAAAGAATTCTTGGTTTGTATTTTAATTGCTTGATCATGGAGAAAAGTGAATTCTTATGGAATCCACAGATTATTCATATCATCTATGACTTTAAATCATTAATTCTGATTTAAAAAGCCTTTATCATTTTGCTTAAAGTTGGGTCAAATTTCAAATAATGAATTTGAGATGTTAGGATTGGCTAATGGTATGCCCTTAGAATTTCTAAATCGCCACTATAGGTTTTTCTTCCTAGAATAAACTACTACTGCTACGTTTAATGGGCTCTTTACCCCACTTCATGAGCCTTTTTTTTTTTTCGACTGGCCTGTATTTCAGGAACAGCATGTAGGCATTTGAACCTGATTTGCTGTGTGTTCTGCGATGAGCCATTGACATTATGGGTCTGCTACTTGCTGTAATGTAGAAATCAATATACAAATATTCATATAAACACAAGACTACATTTGCTTTTTTTTATTCTTAAGGCATGGCTTAAATTATATGGAAAGCCTGATTAAAAGACTATGCATATTCTTTTTCATCATTTTGAAACTGTTACGCAGAACAGATTTTTGGTGAAAGTGGTTCCATGAAAATAGAATTCCTGAAGTGCCTCATGCTGCCAGCTAACCTTTTTTTTTTTTTTTTTTTTTTTTTCCCAGTTTTAGTGGTG